ACCTAAATTTGGCAGCACTAATTTATTCATTGCCCTTTGGTTCCCGTACCTAAATTTGGCAGCACTGATTTATTCATTGCCCTTTGGTTCCTGTACCTAAATTTGGCAGCACTAATTTATTCATTGCCCTTTGGTTCCCGTACCTAAATTTGGCAGCACTGATTTATTCATTGCCCTTTGGTTCCTGTACCTAAATTTGGCAGCACTAATTTATTCATTGCCCTTTGGTTCCCGTACCTAAATTTGGCAGCACTGATTTATTCATTGCCCTTTGGTTCCTGTACCTAAATTTGGCAGCACTAATTTATTCATTGCCCTTTGGTTCCTGTACCTAAATTTGGCAGCACTAATTTATTCATTGCCCTTTGGTTCCTGTACCTAAATTTGGGTGCACTAATTTATTCATTGCCCTTTGGTTCCTGTACCTAAATTTGGCAGCACTAATTTATTCATTGCCCTTTGGTTCCTGTACCTAAATTTGGCAGCACTAATTTATTCATTGCCCTTTGGTTCCTGTACCTAAATTTGGGTGCACTAATTTATTCATTGCCCTTTGGTTCCTGTACCTAAATTTGGCATCACTAATTTATTCATTGCCGGTTGGTTCCCGAAGCTACTTTGGCAACACTAGTTTATTCATTGCCCTTTGGCCTCAGGAAATGAAAAAAAAATGTTGTCTAAAAGCTGGCTTCATGCACTTCAACTCATTGTTAAGTTGATTGAAACCCGTTTTAACTAATCATCATCTAAACCTGAAAACCTTTACCCTTCGGATCGTTTACAAGTCTTAAGTATATCTTACCCTCAAAAAACGCCAAGCGCTCTCCTCCGACAGTCAGCAGATTAAAACTATCGTTACAGACACACAGTTTAGGAACAATGGTGTTACTGTTAAGTGATAAAACATGAGTTATAACAAAAGGTCAAAAAAGGTTTGAGGCCACTGGACTAAATTCTAGTTAGACAATTCATGAGAAAGTTCAAAGATTGTAAGTAAGTACAGCACTAAGTAAAAATTTAATGAAATAACACTCTAAAACATCACAGTTGACAAAATTTGGTGGTGCCCCCATAAAAAAAAATTTTTGCATAAAAAAAACAACAAAAGAAAGTCCTTCATTACATTAATGGTCAAGAATGTCTACGCGAGCGAAGGCATCAAAAGTGAGAAAAAAATGCTGATATCAGATTGGATGCTGATCAAACATGAAATAAATTACCTTGAAGATAAAAACATGAAATAAATTACCTTGAAGACACAAAACATGAAATAAATTGCCTTGAAGACAAAAAAAAACATGAAATAATTGCCTTGAAGTTGAAGACAAAAACATGAAATAAATTGCTTTGAAGTTGAAGACAACAAAAACATGAAATAAATTGCCTTGCAGACAAAACCATCAAAAAACAAATTTCAGGTCATGTGTAATGCAAGAAAATGCTTACAGCAATCCAAAAATCTATGATGGGAGCACCATTGGTCCACTCTGAAAAAATCTGAAAATAAATTGGTCCAATTTTGAATTCCTTAACACAGTAGCTGCAGATCAAGTGTGGTTTGGATTTGGGGGGG